GGAGGAAGGCGTCTTGGTTTAGCGAAGAGTGGTGGTCCTTTAGTGATGATATGATGTGTAACGTTATGTTTACAATCCATTGGGATCATGTTTGTTCTTAATACTTGCGGAAATTTTTTGAGTAACTTAATGTACGCTGAATCGTCTTTAAAAGCGAAGATGCCCGAGGATATCGTCTTTTTAACTTTTCCGGCGGTGGCTAAATTGGTATTTTCATCAATTAGGCGTTTACTTCTTAAGTCCACTAATAAGCCGAAGTAGTGGAGAAAGTCAGCACCTATAATTGGTTTACTGACTGCTGCGACAATAAATTTCCATTTAAAAACACGTCTTAAACCTAAATTTACAGCAATTAATTTGTCACCGTATGTTTTTATTATTGACCCGTTGGCTGCGAATAAAGTAGGGTTACCATCTTTTATTTTATTGCGTTTCTGCTTAGGATCTGCTGGCCAAACCGAAAAGTCCGCACCAGTATCAATTAAGTATTGAGTTTTTGTTATTTTATCAACAATAAATAGACGACGAGATTGAAACTCACTACCGTCGGTCGTCTCGACAGTAGATCGTTTATAGTTTTCCGACGTGTGCTGGTATTTACACGGTGGTTTGCATTTAGTAGCCTTATCTTTGAATCGGTAATGATAATAACATGTATCATATCGTGGTCGTGAATTGTCTCGGCGCATAGGTGATTTTGAGTGACGCCTATTGTAGCTACGAGAGTTGCTGTTGCTAAGTCGCTCTACTGCTTGTGCGAGTGCTGCGATCTGGTGTTCCAATTTTCTTATTGTCGTTGCATCGTCAGCTTGTTCATGTGACTGACGGTTTGTGACCTTGTCACTAATGTTGGCAATGGAAAAACAATCATTTCGGCTGTCCGATACTTCGATAATTTTATCTGCCATCGAAGCTAAGTTATCCAACTTGTCGTTGCTAGCTGAAATGATAGTTTTTACCTGATGTGGTAACCTTTGTATCCATAGTATTTTGAGTATTTCATCAGTTACTTTTCCATTAGCTAGTTGACGCATTTCTGAAAGAAAATGGGATGGTTTCCGATCACCGAGTTCGACTTCGGTCAGTAATTTTTTAAGCCGACATTGTTCAGATTCGGAAAATCTTTCGATGAGCCGGGTTTTTAATGCTTCGTACATTTTCGTTTCTGGTGGATTGAGTATTATGTCACTAACTTGAGCAAGAATTTCACTTTCCATAGAAGAAACAACATGATGAAATTTACTTGCGTCAGCTGTAATTCTGGTTGTATAAAAAACGGATTCAATTTGTTTGAACCAAAGTTCTGGGTTGGTACGCCAGAAAGTTGGGATTTTAAACGCTCGCGTTGAATTCATATTGGGCTCGCCGTATTCGATATGGTCTCGGCCATCATTACCGGTCGCGTCGTCACGCACACTTACTATCGTACTATCGGATTTGTTGTTCATTTTAGAGGTCACCAATTTGTAGTGTTTTGGTGTTTATATTTATTACAAAATACTACAATTAAAATTTATAATAATTAATACTTTTTAATAATAAAAAATAATTTTATACGTACATAAAAAAAGAGTACAAATAAAAAGTGTCACTGGATTGACGAACAGCGCGAGAATAAAAAAAATACACGGAGTGTTATCGTACTGCAGTACATCTAAGATAAAACATATAAACGCATTCATTGTGACATGTTATTTAACATCTTTGTTAATCCCTACAAATCTTTATATTTCTCTGGCTTCTTTTTTTTTTTGGTATAGGTATTAAAATAGTTTTACATAATGGACATTTTTTAATTTTCCAAAGATCTCATATTTCATACTGCAATTCTCCTCCTCTTTTTTGATGGAATAGTAGTGATAGTTCTCACTCGTAGATTCAATTGGGGAACTAATTTATCTTTGAAATTATTTTTTAATTCTATTTTAATCATTAAACAATATCCTCAGGAAATATAATGCAATAAATTACTCTAGATTTACGCATCACAGTTAATGAGTTAAACATCTTGAAAGATGTCAAGCCGTTTACATTAAATCCTAACATTGGATTTGATACAGAAATCACCAATGTTCGGTAGTAACAGTTATTGCTTCCCTTCTTTTAATCGCCACTCATAATAAGTATGATCATCGCAAACCCCGCAGCAGGTCCATTCTATACCCCAGCCTACAAGGGTTATTTTGATTTATAAAAATGTATTAGTTTTTATTTATATACATTTTTTTTTCTTATCTTACATTATACTACTATCATAGTAACTAAAAACGTTATTTAAGTATATTGGTATATTTTTATATTAAGTCACCAAACAATTATAATCATTAGCTCGCTTTTACAGACACCTATATTAGTATAGTTAATTGAAAGTGGGTGGACTTAAGTTAATATATTTGCAAGTTCTAATTATAATTTTAAGTGTTGATATTTTCTAATTAATATTATTCTTGAGTAACATTATTAAGATAGTTACTTTTTAAAAAATCAACATAGTGAAATATTTATAATACCATTCTTTAACTTTGTGAGTAATTTCATCTATTTTCATTATAGATTTAAAACTATAAAATACTGATTGAAATTATTGTTAAATATATAATAAGGGTAGCACTGATATTAAATTATAACACAATAAATAGTTTACTTCTTAAAAAATTAAAACATAATATAATATAAAAAATAAAATAAAATTTAATAATTTAATATAAATATGTATGTACAATATATTACAATTTAAACTATACACAATTATTGAATACTAATATTATTAATCTCACAACCTTTAAGACTATTTAGTTCATACTTAATTATTTTTAAAATCAAAATAGTGTAAAATACATATTCATTTTCAACATTCACTAGTTTCTATTGTTTTAATTGGTTATATTTTTATATTAATTCTCTAGATTCTTTATCTGATCTCATCTTCTTTATTTTTTTCTTCATGGCCATAACACCTATAATCAATTTGTTATTATTTTATAGTGGTGTTAAGAATATAAGTCTAATGATAACTAAGAATAGAAATTACTAAAGTTGAAAAAAATTTATGAGATTTTTTAGATAAAATTTAAATAAGGTTATTACATTTTAAAATTTAAAGTTTTTTAATATGTTGAATAAAAAATATTAAAAAAAAAAAACTGTCTGCAAGACAAAAAACTTTGATTTCAATAATTTTAAATATAAAATGTGGAAAATTAGAAAAAAAATTGTTTCAACATAAGAATTAAGTGATCTTACTAAAATAATTTCTGGATTTAAGATCTACACAATTTAAGATTAATATCATTTTTACGTTTAACGCAAAAGATGGATGGTTTTTTAAAGAAAATTATCATTTTGATAAATTAACGTATAATAGTCAATTTTTGTTTTTATAAACTCATACAATTACATGCAGTTTTAATATGAAAAAATAACTTTAAAAGAATAATACAAAAAATGAAAACAGTATTTACACTTTGTTGTTTGATACAACATCATTGCATTTTCTTTTGATTTATCAACAGGTCTTTTAGTTGTTATGTTTAATCTAAAATATAATGTAAATAAATCTATAGTATAAAACAGAATATATAAATATATTGTATTTAAAATACTTTTTTGATGATTTTGATCCTAACAACCTAAATATTCCATTTCCAGATGTTGTTGACATGTTTAATGGCTGTAAAAATGAATATATTTTAATATGTTTAATGATTTTGAAAAATATATAAATAAAAATAGATCAAAAAGCAACAAATATGAACTAAATGTTACTTACAAATTATTATAGTTTCACAGAGTTCATAATAAACAAATTAAGTTAATTTTGAAAATTTTTGGTATAATATGTAATAAGATAACAAATAAGACAATAAAAATTTGATTTTAAGATGATAAGTTGTTTCAATTTAGAATTAAATACTCTTAAAATTACTTTTATTCGTAACAGTCAAAATTTAATTAGAATTAAAGTATTGAAAAAAATTAATTATCTAGTTGTGTAGGAGAATAATTTTATATTTTAACTCCCAAAAAATTTATATAAGTGAGCTTGTCACTTATTTTTTACATATCTTAATCAGTTGTGTACGACTATGTAGGTTTGAGACTAGAAGGGTATAATATTTATATTTAAAAGCTCACCTCTTAAAAAGTAGTATGGATTAGAAGTAAAAATTACTTTAGCCTATTGTTGTTAAAAAAACTAGTTATGTAACTAATATCAATATCTTAATTTTGTTCTGAATTCATTTATAATAATGTAAAATCTATATGATCATTTGTTATCAAGTTATTATCACCTTATGTAATTTTTATGTATGACATATTTGATTCCTTAAAAAGTAGCTATATATGACTTGATTTTCTTCACACTCAGCTAATTTCTAATACTAATTTCTAGTATTCATCTAAGTGTTAAACTTTATTCCAATACATCTAGTTTGATAGCCTAATATAAAAACCTTGCAAGTATACTTTTAATAAACATTTTGATATTGTTTCTATCTGGAGGTGTAAGAAATTTACATTTATATATTTCACACTTTTTTAAAATTTCATATTATGATTTCACACTCCACCATAGGACCTATCCAAGTGATCTCTCTGAAGAGAAAGTTTTCTAATCATAAATACTATGAAACTATGAATACTATGATAATTAATTCATTACCACAGAATGAGATGGTGACTCCAATTTTTTAACTAATCTCTCATTCAACATACGGAACTGCCTTTAACTAAGTTTCAAATTCAAGACCATACACATCAGACAATATTAATGTTCATACTTCAATTCAAAAAAGGGTGTTATATAAATTTAAGAAATTTATTTTAAATTGTTTAATAAAATCAATAATCTTCCAAATAGAATTGGATTTTTACCTTCTGGAAAACTATAAAAACACTTATCTATATTTATAATAATACCAAAATCACATTTAAAACCATAAATCATCTTTTAGAAAAAATTAATTTACAGTTGCCTCATTGATCCTTTTATTTTGTGTATTGAAGTGCTAAATATTTTACAATTATTTTAACAACATAATTTGTATAAAAATGTCTTAACAAATATAAACTTTATATAATTTTTTTTATGATTTTTAGTGCTAAATTTTACTTACACTGTCTCTTAATTCAATCATATAAAAAACAATAAGACTCAGAAGCATTGTTCCTAATGGTAATTTATTATTCATTTCCATACTGAGAACTTCAATTGATGAAATAACCGTAAATGGTATTATTAATAAATATATTGATATCCTTCAAAAACATGAATACAAAATAAATCATTTTTAGTAAAAAAATTGGTAATGTTGATAATTGGTGCTTCAATTTATTTTTCAACAACACACCTCATTTTTAATACAAAAATTATTTAAAAAAAGGTAAACATAGCTTATATTGGGTTAGTTTATAATATATTTAATTGCTGTGTAGAGATAAGTAGCTCAATATTTTTTAAGACAGTTTATGAAAAAAAAAATTTCATACCCTATTGAATAAAAATAAAAATGTAGTTTCTATTTTTTTTTTTATACATAGTAAGACTTTATTATCAAATAATTTGTATTGTTGCATGAATATTTACATAATATCTTAAAATATTGACTTTAGAAGTATAAAAGTTTTATCCCAAAATCTAATTAAATTTACCAAACATGGAGGTTAAGTTATATCTATGAATAATAAGTAATTAAAAAGCATTTATTAGAAATCAATATTTACCAAACACCACAATGGACAATAAATTGTAAAATGCTTAAGATTTTTATAATAAAACTATTTGTTTTATTATGGTACATTTTCAAGAGCCTTGCAGCTTCTAAAGTACCGAGAGAAAGATTTGTTAATCCAAGAAATATAAATCCAGCTTCTGAACACCTAAAAAAGTTATAAATCATAAATATATAAGTGTAAATATGTTAATTAAGCAAAAATATACATTGTAAGAAAAAAAAAAAGCACGTCTTACATCACGATTAAGGCATAGATTTTAGCTCTCATATATATTTTAATCAATTTATTTTTTATACTGATTACAAATATGCAAAAATTAAATGTCTGTCAAAATAAGTTATAACGCATTAAGGTTTATATATAACACTAGTTATGTACACTTCATTATTTTGTTTATTTATGTGGAATTCCAATAAAACCATTATTATGTCATTTAATGTAACGATTCAGACTTTTTGGATCATTATGCATTTATGTCTAATGGGTTTATAAAGGTTAAAATTAAACTAGATTTCTTTCTTTTGGAAGTTTAGGGGTGTGAGCCTTATCCCATAAGAGTACCATAGTGATTCAAGTCAGTCATTAGAGCAGGCAGGCAAAGGTGACTTTAAAATTTGTTCTAACAGATAGATATTTGATTATATATTAACAATTTAATATAATAATTTATAATGGTAAAAAATAACATGTTTGCAAAATGCACATTATTCAAAAACATTGAACTAAAATGCAAAAACAAAGTGTTATAGGCTTCCAAATTTCCTAAATTCTAATCTTAGTTATATGTAGGTATAATTTAGACTTTCCATTTAAGCACTTTTTTTTATAAATCGTTAACAAAAATGATATTAGGAAGAATATAATTGAAGGGTTCTTGACCTGATATAAACTATATAAGCTATAACTTTTTAACCAATTTTGATCATTATTTAAATAAATAATTTAATTGCAAGTTAAATTGCATTTGTTCCCACAATTAATTTCATAATACCATTAAACTTAGTGGGTTAAGACAAATAGAAAAAATTACCCAAAACAATACGATGATGCAAAAAACACCAAAATAGAAACTTTTTTGATAGTTCTTAGAACTGGCCAATCGTCAATAATAAATTCAGAAAATGATGAGTAGACACTATGTAAAAGACATGAATACATTATGATAAATTTAAAATTTCTAGATGGATCAACTTTTTCATCTGTTTTGCATTCATCTAATATTTGACTAAATGATTTTAAAATCCAAAATATAAAAGTTGAATCATGATTTGTAGTTTTGAATGTAGAAAAACATAATGGAACACTAATTAAACAAAATAACCCACTAGTCAATGAATTAAATAAAGCATTCATTTCCGGTATACTCAGTGAACTTGTTGAATATATTGCCATACATTTCTAAAACAAAATTTCCTCAATCTTAAACATTCAAAAGTTTAAGTATAATGTAATAAAATACTACCGTAGTGAAGTCATTGAATTTTTTATAAATTATCAACCATAATATAAACATAAAAAATATACAAAGTATTACACTAGAGTCTTTTAATAATTCTATCATTTTTACTTATTCAACAAGTTATAAGTTTCATATTTTAATATAAAATCAAAACCATTAAACTTATAATATTTAATTATATTATTACTCTTTAAATTTTAATATTTTTTTAACTAATAAAAACAACGGACACCGGGAAACAAAATGCGATAACTCCAATATAACTGTCAGTATTCAGTTATAAAATTATCACAACCCTTTTTCTTTTTATTCAGAATAACACAAAAAGTCATGGAGTAATAAATTATAGTATAAGAATTAATATGTTAAGCATGACAAAATAGATTTTTGTTATGGTGTTAAGCATTTTGAGGTTATTTATCAAAACAACTGCATTATCAGGGTAGTCAAATATAAGACTTACAAGCTGCTGATCATTAACCCATTTGTTGTGAGGACCTTGTTTATTGTTCTTGATTTTTTCAGGAAACGCGATATTAGGCAATATATCTCCATTTTAAGGTATGTAAACTTTTATTAATATTCAGATGTATTTTACACAATTATGTTTAACACAATTGTGTTTAATAATGTTTAAACATAACTTAAAAAATTTTTAATAACTGAGTAAGTATTATATCATTTGTTGAAATAATTAGTTATTTTTTTAGTACTTCCGTATGGATTACCTTATTTACAATTAGGTTACCCCTGTAATCTTTAGTAAAAATGTCAATTATTTACTTCGGTAAAATAAAATTTGTAATACTGTATAATTATTATGCTTTATAACTTTTGATTGGTTAGATGTAGTATTAATGTAGTTGAATGATAAAAAATTTACCATTATTGAAGGGTTTTAATGTGAACAGTTCAGAGTCTCTAATTTTAGACATCAGTTTTTTTATCAATTTTATAATGTGCTAACTTTCAAAAATATTAAAAAACATTATAAGTTAAATGATTGCTTAAGCTATATGAGAAAATTATGTCCAAAAAATAATATTTTTTTAGAGCTTATTTAATTTTTGAGAGATATTTACATTTTTTATTAATTTTTTTAATTATTCTATATTTGTGAAATAGTTGCTTAGTGAAGCTTTTAATATAGTATTAGTTAAATTAAAATTTACTTAAGTATGATTTTTTATTGAGCTGTCCATAAAAACAAAACAATTTTTTTCAATTAATTAAAATATTATTTTGGATGACTTTTTTTTATCATACTGTGAGATTTTTAATGGTTCTTTAAGTATAGAAGTATTTATATTGAAAGTAGATAACAAAACTAAACATGTTTGATCTTAGATATTACTGCTAATTGGAAACATAATATTATTTATTTTTAGTGTTCCAATTTTACAATTATATATACAACATATTTGAAAGAGTTTATAGTAGATTTAATGATTTTTGTAATATATATCTATATCTATATATATTTATATATTCTTTATATAATGGAGCTATTAACTTGTTATTAAGTTAACCTATTTACAAATAACACTAGGATAATAAGTTAAGTAATAACTATTTGTACATACATTATTATGTTTGTTTTCAATAACTCTACTGTATTTAAGTTATCAATTTGTCCATTCTGTCGATTTAAAAAATATAAAAGTAACTATTCATGTTTAAATGAAAAATGAGGTTTGTTTTTTAAATGTAGACTTGCTTTGGTATTTTTAAAATTTATTTTATTCAGATTATTTTTACTACAATTTTTTTCCCAGGAGTTTTTTACTTGGATTTTTTTCTTCAGCTCCACTTCTGAAAACAGCTTTAAAATTGAAATGTCTTCTAGTAAGGACATAACTAATAATGAACTTATTGATATCATTAGTGAAAAAATGCCATCAACTACTATGTTTAAAAATAACCACAAATTACGATCAATATCTACTTATCCTTCAGATACCTCATCTTGTAGTAGTTCGGCTTGTGTTTCAGAAGATGACGATAGTGGTACACCAGTAAGAAGTAAAAATCAGCAAAATAGCTTAGGATTCAGTGATTTTTGTGTTAAAGATTTGCGTCTTCATGGGTATGGTAGAAGGGAAATTGATCTTGCTGAACAAGAAATGTTAGGATTAATTGCTTTAAAAAAACAAACATTTCATAGTAAACCTTTATCAGGTGCTCGAATTGTAGGATGTACTCCCATTACAGCTCCTACTGCTGTATTAATAGAAACGCTGAATGCTCTGGGAGCAGAATTGCGTTGGTGTGCATGTAATATTTATTCCACTCAAAATGAAGTTGCAGCTGCATTAGCTGAAGTAGGATTTTCAATTTATGCATGGAGAGGAGAGACTGTAGAAGATTTTTGGTACTGTATAGAAAGATGTTTTAGTAATAAAGACTGGATACCCAATATGATCATGGATGATGGTGGTGATGCTACTCACTTTTGTCAATCAAAATACCCTGAAGTGTTTAAAAATTTAATTGGAATTGTAGAAGAAAGTGCAACTGGAATTCATCGTCTTTATAAGTTACTTCATGGGGAAAAACTTACTACTCCTGCAATTAATATTCAAGGATGTGTTACTAAAAGACAGTTTGACACACGCTATAGCTGTAGAGAATCTGTTATTGTTAGTTTAAAAAAATGTTTGACTGATTTAATGTTTGGTGGAAAACAAATAGTTTTATGTGGCTATGGGGAGGTTGGAAAAGGTTGTTGTCAATCATTGAAATCACTTGGATGTACTATTTATGTTACAGAAATAGATCCTATTTGTGCTTTACAAGCTTGTATGGATGGATTTCGTGTAGTTAAATTAAATGAAGTTATTAGACAAGTAGATATTGTAATTGCTGCGACAGGCAATAAAAATGTTGTTACTCGAGAACACATGGATAAAATGAAAAATATGAGTATTGTTTGTTGCATGTCTTCATGTCATAATGAAATTGATGTAAAATCTTTAAAAAGTGAAGAACTTAAATGGGAAAGAATACGATCAAATGTAGATCATGTACATTGGCCAGATGGTAAAACTATTGTCCTTTTAGCTGGTGGACATCATGTTCAGCATTCATGTTCTAGTGTACCATCTTTTGTGACTTCCATAACTGCAACAACACAAGTATTAGCTCTAATGGAGTTGTATAAGAGTGTTAATACTAATAGTCAATACAAAAATGGTGTTGATATTTACATGTTGCCAAAAAAAATGGATGAGTATGTTGCAAACTTACATTTACAAGTATTTGATGCACATCTAACTGAACTTACGGATGAACAATGTAAATATAGCGGTTTGCCAAAACATGGTCCTTTTAAATCTAATCACTATCGATATTAGTGTTGATTGTAAAAAAAAAAAAAACAAAGTTACTAATTGAAATAAATTAATGAAATTTTATGTGGTTTATTTATTATGGTTTTGAAATTATAATTAAAAAAAATTGAATATAATCATAATTCTTACATACTGATAAAATTTGTTTTATATATATTATTTTTTAGTAATTTAATACTTACTAATTTTTGTATTCCTGTTTTTATCCTTAATTGATTTATATATATATATATATTAATTATATACAACTTATAGCTTTTAAAATTTACAAATTGTATTAATAAATTTGTACACGGTATTTATTATTTGTAATACTATGTATAAATAAATCTAACAAAATTATACTGCATAATAATTTTAGTTATTTTAGTTAGTATGATATACAGGATCAATTAATAATAAAGCATTTATTTTCTTAGAAACTATTGAGGTTTAAACTTTTGTAAAAGCAAAAAATATTTGGTTTGTAAAACTACAATGATATGTAGTCAAATAATTTTTTTTCATTCTATCAGAGCTTTAAAAACCTTAAATTTAATTACTTCAATAAGAACCTCTATTTTTAACTTGATGATATAATAGCAAAATATTATAAACAATTTTGTTCTTGCAATTTTTTTTATCTGATTGATCGTTCATCCATTACAGCATTTTAATATATAGAGTAGTACGTAGCACATATAGAGTGCACATAAACTAGTACGAACTGTATCCATCAATTATAATTTACTAAGAAAATAAATGACTTATCCTTAATTAATCACACTGTAGAATTAAATAAGCTTGCATACTTAATACTAAAAAATTGGTATATTTTTGTCATAAAAAACTTACAAAAGTTATGTATGAAAATCAATATTCTATTATCATAATGAACTCAAATAAAATTAACTAAAAATTAATTTTACAATTACAGTCCAATAGCCATCTTCACTATTTATTGATAAAATAACTCCAGTTTTTTTGTGTTTAGGTAACATAAGATTTCTGTTTTCTGTTTAATTAATTTAAATAAAATTGCAACATAATAAAACTTTATTGAATATTATTGATTATGAGTAATCAACTTAATGATCTAGATAAGGTGTCTTTAAGATTAGTGAGGCTATAGGAAAAAATAATTGTAATATAATTTACATCATATTTTTACAAGTGTGAGGTCCTGCAACCCCTCCTTAAGGTCATCTCTGAATCCAAGCCTATAGAAAATGATTATTAATTTATTTATTTTGATATTTAAAACAAATATGCATTCTCATAGTATATATAAAGAAATTTTAGTAATACATGTTATGCCAATTGTATAAACATATACTTGAAACATAATAATATTAGATAATTATATTAATTTAACAAAATATTATTTTTTCTAAAATTCTTATTTTTATATTGATTGTATTTTATGAACTCAATTTAATTATTTTGATTGACACAGAACGAGGAAAGTTCATAGAACTTATTTCTTTTTCTTCTGTACGAACTTGAACTTTTAATCTAAAAAAATTAGTAAAAGAAATAATACTATAGAAAATAAATGAAATCCTAAAAATAGTCGTTCTAAATAAAACTGAAGAAATTTAAACTTTTCTTTGATATTGTTGAATATCATATATAAATTTTCTTTTAAATAGTTTAATATTTTTACAAACTTTATTTTTTAAATAAAAAATAATAATTTCTTACAATTATGAAATGAATATTTCTAGCAGTCTATTAGTCAAATTAATATTTATAAATTAATCTTTAGGTAATATGAAAACATAGTTAAATTAAATTAAACTAAATTATACATGGTAATTATATCTTGCTTCTATAAGAAAACAAACTGTAATTTTTTAATTTATATTTTATTATATTGTAGAAGTTTCATAAAAAAAATTCCCTTTCATAGCTCAATTTTCCTTTTTTTAGATACTATAAGAACAAATAACCCTTACTTCATCAATTAATTTTTCTGTTTAAATTAATATTGAGTTAATATGATTCTTCATTATTTTTTTCTTTTTTGTAGTGTAGTTTAGTCTCAGTTTTACATTTAATTGATAAAATAAAAATCAATTTCTAGTTCAATATAATTGATTTGATATAGAATGTATAAAATTTGAAATTTTTGTATTACAGAAGAATAGTATTTATAAATTAATCAATGATGGAAGTAGATGAAGAAGACGTTGAAGTTCCATCTTCAAGCACTAGTAGTCGCGGAGAAAAAAAAAGATTTGAGGTAAAAAAATGGAATGCAGTAGCACTTTGGGCTTGGGATATTGTTGTGGATAATTGTGCAATTTGTCGCAATCATATTATGGATTTGTGTATTGAATGTCAGGCCAATCAAGCTTCTGCCACTAGTGAAGAGTGTACAGTTGCTTGGGGTGTATGTAATCATGCCTTCCATTTTCATTGTATTTCACGTTGGTTGAAGACGAGACAAGTTTGTCCGCTTGATAACAGAGAATGGGAATTCCAGAAATATGGTCATTAATATATATTAGACAAAATCTACCTTAACTCCTTTTTTATTATTTTTANCATTAATATATATTAGACAAAATCTACCTTAACTCTTTTTTTATTATTTTTAAAATAAACATATTTAATGTATAGTATTAAAAATGATTGTTCATTTTTATATATTGGTTGAAGATCTATCATCATTAAATGTAGTAAAATTATATGATACTTTTTTTTCTTGAAATTTTCATTTCATTTTTATATTAAAATTGTTTTTAAATATATAGGAAAACTTATTTTCCTGTAAATAAAAAGAAATTATTACTAAAGAAAATTGAGTTTGTATAAAAATTCGTATTGTGGGATGTGTATTAATACTTATAGTGGATAAATCTATTTTTGATAGTTAAATTTTCTTAGGCTTATGAAATAATGTATTAAAACTTGAAAACTCAATGAAATAAATCCTGTTTTTTTAATACAAACAAATATCGGAGTTTATACGAAAATCTTATTGAAATATTGAGTATTTCCATTGTGTTTTGCAAAACATTGACTATGATCCATTTTGAACTGGTCATAACTAAACCTATAAAATCGTGATAGAATAGTATTATAGATAAAATAAAATAAGTTTAGTTACTCCTATTCAATATACCGCATTCATAAAAAATACAGAAAAGAAATTTTTATAATAAAAATAGTATTTAAAAAATAAACAAAAGTTATGAAATTCTTTATGAATCGTCTATTAGTAAAATTAAAATTAAGTTGTTAAGATAGTAGATACACTTGTTAACTTAAAAATTTATAATTGGCTGACTTTAACATAATTTTATCCATAACTATATTATAATATTTGTATATTCACATAACAAGAAAATTAAATTACTTCAATTAAGATAAATTTGAATTTCTTTAATGTAATAATGTTACAAAGAAAAATAAGATTAAAAAAAAATAAAAAAACAATAATTAAACATAGAAAAAGTAAAAAAATGTTAGGTGGTATTTCAAAAATCAAAACGTTTATTATATTATTTTTTAAAAATTAATTATATTTTAAAAGTTTTATACTTTTTATGACTTTCATCTTCGGATGAATTACTTATTAAATTTGGTCGAGCAGTAGTATTAGAAGATATCTCAAAGGGTTGCTTTTTTATTTCGGATTTTTTGCGTTGTAAGTTTTTCCTATGAAAACTCTTAACGGATCATAAAAATATATTTAATTATATGATAAATTTATTTGAAAAATCTGCTATATGTCCAAAAAATGGTTTAGGATATACCCTAAAATCTTTTTATTGAAAAAAAGCATAATAAAATACAGGGTGGCCCACCACTCACTGACAACTTAAATAACTTTTGATCCAGTTAATATTGTTAGTTGATTTTTTTTTTAAATAATAGTTATACGTTAGGTCTATAGCTATATCTCAATAATTAATTTTTTTACATTTTATTAAAAATATTAATTATTTTTAAATTTTAAATAAAAAGTAAAAAAAAAATCTAAGATAGCTATTTTGTAGAGTAGAATTTAAGAAAAATTTTAGTAAAAAAATATCTTATTAATATTCAGTAGTAAATATTCTGTAGCGTTTTGAAGTTTGTGAAAATTTGAATTTTTATGTACTATTTTACGGTATTAAACATTGAAATACGTATTGAGAAAAGGACAGAAGAAACGCTATCTTTTTATGATTACTGTGTATACATATGATGATAGTGTGTATACATTACAATCTTGGCATAAATACCATGATAAGAAATTAGATAAGGCAATTATTACTTATCACTCTCATTCAAAAGTATATTGAAAAGATAGCGTTTTCTTCTGTCCTTTTCTCAATACGTATTTCAATGTTTAATACCGTAAAATAGTACATGAAAATTCAAATTTTCACAAACTTCAAAACGCTACAGAATATTTACTACTGAATATTAATAAGATATTTTTTTACTAAAATTTTTCTTAAATTCTACTCTACAAAATAGCTATCTTAGATTTTTTTTTTACATTTTATTTAAAATTTAAAAATAATTAATATTTTTAATAAAATGTAAAAAAATTAATTATTGAGATATAGCTATAGACCTAACGTATAACTATTATTTAAAAAAAAAATCAACTAAAAATATTAACTGGATTAAAAGTTATTTAAGTTGTCAGTGAGTGGTGGGCCACCCTGTATACCTTTCCTAACAAATTAGCTGGTATTAATAGCGGATTGTCTTTTGAAATTGCTATATTTTTTTTTGTCTGTTGAATTAAAAATGTTATTTTTATATTTTCCAGATTTTTCATTCTTAATAAGTGTTCCAAATTCTCCTCGCTGTATCAATTTCTAGGCAACTAAAGAGATATTTAAATAAACAAATAAACTATATTTAATATTATATTATTATCTTCGATAAAAATTGAATTTCCCATAAAAATCTTATTGAAAAAATAGCAGTCCTGAATAATATTAAACATTATGTTATTGCAATTATATTAAGGGGGTTGTTAGTTTATTTTATATTTTTGAATCAGACAAACTCCAATTACATAGCTAAATTGAATTCATCACAATTTTTCAAAATTTTAATTTATAGATTTGTTAATATATATTAATATAATTATAGTTATCAATTTTTCTGAAATAATTTTATCATTTTCATTCGTTTTTCGATACGTGAATTTTGTTACAGGATAAATATTTTCGTTAATAATTGCTGCAAATTGAATATCATTTTAATAATTATTAATTAAATAATCAATTTCGAAAAAGTTTTTTAATGTTAAAATAGCTAAATTAAAGTAAAGCGACTGAATTATTGTTGTATATCAATAAGAGAACTTATTATTAATTTTTCTTATATTTTATATTAAAAAACTTTTTCTCTATTCGAAGTAATTAGTTTAATTATTAATCTTAATAGTGTTTACAGATAATTCTTCTACCTTTAGTTGACTTTTTTTATATTTGTCCTTTATTTGGATTATTTAAAGCACAATTGGAGTGCATGAAACGACGATTTCATATTTCTTCAACTCTGCGTATGACCTTATGTAAGTTTGTTTCATTTGTTTGACCAAAAATATTTTTTTCACTTGCCATATCAACAACTAATTAAATAAATCTTAATACTTACACAAGACGATAGTTTATTTTTTCACGGATAAAAACGAACTGAACTCAAATGTCGATAAAATCAACATTTACAAGGTAACTCGTAAATATAATATATATATAACTCGTAAAAACTCGACAATATGTCAAGGAAACTTAATTGTAAAAATTCATTAAAAAAATGTATAAGCCAATTATAAATAAATTTAGAATAAACAATACTTATTTATTTTTATTTTATTATTGGTCAAAGAATACAATGTATTAAGAATTTATTGCAGAGAATTATCAATATATATATATATATTTTTTAAAGATTTTTTGAAGAAAAAACTTTTGTATGAAATAAAATATCAACGTTCGGATTTATTTTCTTGCAACTATTAAAAATTTGGCATATGTGACATTGCTATTACCATTTAGTTCTTAATAAAAAACATCATGCCATGCGGCTTTAATCAACATAAAAATTCATTAAGTTGAATATATAATATAGTTTAACAATTTAATTAATAATTGAATTAATGATATAATAATTCCGAAAAAAGAAAATAACAGGAGATTTGAATTAAGTTTAACGACTTTAACAAATCGAAAATAACTTTAGGGTTTAACTACCTATAGGTTTAATTATTATTTGTATTTTTAATTTTATTATTATTATTTTTTTTTGACAATAATGGCTATCTTTGTAACTTCAATATCTATTATATTGAAGTTTTCAATCTAAATTTAATCTATCAGGATAAACTATTTTCGTAGTGTACCTATCTGTTAGGCACTGTTATTAATTTAGCTTTGATCTTTTACGTGTGGCAATCGATGTCATACCTAATGTGAAAAACGAGATGATGGTACTTCTACAGTCATATTTTTTTTAGTTTTAGGCAAGTGTCTTCAACACTTGGGTATCTAAGAGGAAATTAATATGAAAGAGTATACAAAAAGGCGAAATGAATTAATAGATCATACTTTAAGGCACGTTTGGTTGCTATTATTAATCTTTGAAGAAATAATCGATGGAAAAAATCATAGAGGAAGACCAAGATTGCAATACGTAAGTCAGATAATAGAAGATCAAGGATGTAATTCATATCAAGAGTTGAATAGGAAGGCTAGTGATAGAGAAATATAGAAGTTGCTGCAAAACAATCATTAGATTGAATGCTGCGTAAGAAGAAATTGAAATAATAAAACGGCGTATACCATAGGCATTGGGTATAAGGCAGAGAGCTTAACTTCTCCGTTTGCAATTTAGTCCCCCAAAAAATTGAGTAAAATTATATACATAGTTATATAAAATTAATTTTTAAGGGAGGGAAAAATTAAATTGAGTCCTCCTTAAAATACTGGGCACCTACTCTATGGTGTACATAGAGGGTAAATTTGACGTATTCTGTACAATGGTCACGAGGAACACCTAGTTGGGTTTGATTTATAACTTAAGATGTTTTCACGTGAAAAATTATAGACCCGTTCCTCTTGTATTAGCCTTACTCGAGAATTTTATCAGTTACCTAAAAAATCATAGTAAAACTACATATTAATGATTTTGAATCATACTAGTCTCTAGTTGCTAGTATCTATCTCTAGTCTCTAGCTATATACTAAAATCTCAGCCCCTCATTACAGCTGTACCTGGAACAGATTTTACGTTTTTTCTACTATAATATTCCGATTTTTAAACTGCGGTCTCTACACAATCTCCTATCCGCTACTTTGTATATCTTTCTGCTAATATGTAATTTTGTCAGGGAGTTCCATAAATTGAACAAATTACATGAATTTAATTATAGGAATGATTCTTAGGAAGGCGTACTTTTAATATACAGAAATTTAATAAACAGGATCTTCATTTGCGGTATGCTGTGTATACAGTTATGTACCTAAAAATTCTGCTGTCATTTTTGGTTTCGAACACTGGTCCAGTCCCTCAATACTTACCTCTTACTCACAAATATTTTGTTCAAAATCTATTTATGAAATGAGGAAATTTTCAATGAATGCTATGGGACATTAGCCACTTAGAAATTTGGATCAAACACCTCTAGTTTAAATTATTTTCAAACAATTCGACAATATTTTAATAACTATAATCGAATCATAATAACCATAGACTGTAATATTTATTTAAAAAACCATTATAAATTTTGTAATAATTTTGATTATAAATAATGTTTCAATAAATAAAGTATTACATTAGATACTAAATTAAGTTCAGAAATATTATAGACTTAATATGTTATCAAAATCGTTTTTAGTTAAAATATAGCTGCAAGCGCAATTCGTTAAGATGATTTAGCTTCGCATCTAGTGGAATAAATATGATTAGAAGTGTACTTTTGTTGCTATCCGATAAAGACGTTAGGTGCATTTAATCTATACCCACATTTTATTTCAAAACTTTACTAAATACGTTATATTATTATTGTCATTTATATATTATTCTATGCCGTTTCGCATAAGTGTTGAAATAACAAAATTTTGAATAGATAATGTTGTATTTTGTAATAAATGTCTGCTAATTATATAATACTTATTAAATCTTCAACATATTACAATAATTTATCAAAAACTTCATCGCCTTGGAATAAAAAGGTTTTCTAATACAAATTTTTCTATATTCAGGATAATGATTTTTGGTTCAGTGTTTTTTTTTTTTTGTAACCTCTCATTAGAAATCTTTGGTATTTTGACTGATAGAATGTAATGGAACTCGATTAAAGTACTTGTCTTATACGTTAACTCATCAATTGGATGAAATGTCAACTCGGTAGTGGAAGTGAATTCAGTGGGCAGTCGGTTTCGTTGCACGTCGTTTGCAAGAGGGGTACTTGTCAGGTTGGGCGGATCACGGATATTTGGTCAGAGCATCCGGACGGGAAATGATCACTCGGACAAAATAGCTAGTACGATCCAGAGGGGGATTACGCTCAATTGAGTAAATCTTTTTAACAACTTTTTTTTTATTGCTTTTTTTTTAGTTAAAGTAAATTATTAAAATTAACTCAGTTCATATTTCAATTGTAGAATCTTTTTAAACACCAAAAGTTACTAGGAAATGATTACTATTATTTCTATTTAAGTTATCTATTACGATAAAAATGCAAAAATATATTGAGCTTTTCTGATAAATTTACTATAAATAGTTATTATAAAATTTCCTGGCTGCATATTAATCTTAACGATACAATTTTTTTAATTCTTATAAAATTTTCTATTTAATGATATCAATTTCAAACTTGCAAATTGAGCTAAAAGTTATGGTAATAAATTAATTTTTTTTTACTATGAAGTTTCACAAAAATCAACTTTAAAAGATTAAAAAAATAGGTTAAATATGTAATTTTCCTTATTTTTAACATATTAATAATCAAAATCAATAATTATATAAAACAATTTGTTTTGGTTCTTAATTATTTTTTTTATATGTAAATACTTATTTTTTAATAATAAGTAATAATATTAAAATTTAAAAGTGATAGAAAAAGTCTAATTGTACATCTGAAAACATCGCGAAAAGTTGATTTAGAAAAGTATATTATTGTTAATTATAAAAGTTCCTTGTAGTCCAGTGTATAAAAATTATAATTTAATATAAGTAATAAAACATTTTTATCGAAAAGTACTGCATCAAGCCCTTTTAGACACGTTAAAAGTAAAGAAATATACAACTATTTTAGCTTCGATGCGAAGCTGAGAAGGTATTAGTTTTACTAATATGTGTTTTTTTTTTTTT